GCCACATGGACTCGCTGGTTCAGATCCTGGACGCGCTGGAATCCCCGGCCCGGGGGGGCTCCCCGGGCTCTGTCCCGGCTCTGGCGCGGGCCCTGGGGGTCTGCAGCACCCCGGGGTGCCGCGCCGTGCTGGGGGAGCCCCCCGAGCCCCCCCCGGCCCCCGCGGCGCTGCCCCCCGAGCAGTGGCGGCTCCTCCGGGAGCTCCTCCGGCCCGAGCCCGCGGCCCCCGAGCGCGGGGCCGTGCTGGCCCCCGACGGCTCCACGGTGGCCCTCGGGCCCCTCCTGGCCGGCATGGAGGCGGGGCTCAGGCTCGGGGGGGGCTCGGAGGGCCCTTGGGCCCCCCTGCCCACCCTCCGGCCGCCCCTCGACCCGCTCTTGGCGGTCACGGTGGCCGAGGTTTTGGGGACATCCTTCCTCCTGGCGCGGGGCGACGGCGACGGAGCCGCGCTGGGCCCCGGCGGCTGCTGGGACGACGTGGACGACCCCCAAAACTACACCCTGACGGGCCCCCCCACCCTCGTGCCCGACGCCGTGGCCAACGGGGCGATGGACGGGATGGTCCTGGGTGCCCGCCTGGCCCGGGAGCCCGCCCCGCTCGCCGAGCTCCTGCGGGGCTACTACGGGACGGGCAACGGCTCGGAGAGGGGGAGACCCCCCAGCAGCTACAGACGGCGGGATTTCGGGGCGCTGGCGGGGCCGGGGAAGCTGGAGGAGGAGCTGGTGGCCGTGCTGGAGCTGCTGAGGGTCCTGCCCCCCACGCGGGGGCTGCTGGAGGGCGTGGGGCCCGGCGAGGTGGCGGCCGTGGCCCGGAGAGCGGCGGGGGAGTTCACCCGGCGCTACGTGGGTACGGGGGGAGGGCACCGGGGTTCCTCACCTGGGCAGGTGCCCCCCTGTCCCCGAGACCCCCTTACCGTGTCCCCAAGGGGTTCCTCACCTGGGCAGGTGCCCCCCTGCCCCCCAGACCCCCCCCACCGTGTTTACAAGGGGTTTCTAAGCTGAGCAGATGCCCCGTGCCCCCCCTGTCCCCAAGACCCCCCTGCCATGTCCCCAAGGGGTTCCTCAGCTGGGCAGGTGCCCCCCTGTCCCC